AAAAAGCACCACCAAACAGCCCTTAGACTAATGTCATGACTATTGACATAAATTTTTGGTACTTCATAGAAATGCTCCAACAGGTAAACTTACTACGAAATCAGATGTATACAGCTATGGGGTGGTTCTCTTGCAGCTGTTAACAAGCCGTGTACCAGTTGATAAAAAGAGGCTGCCGGGGAACATGTCCTTGTCTCATGGGTTAGTAACCAAAATCCCCCTTCCATCCTCATTGATGTTTATGTAACATGTATAGAAAAAACAATCTGTACAAGCTAAAATTGCACAGCTATAAGCCAAATTAATTTCACATCTCCATAGTGCATAAGGTCCAATTGCTTATATCTTTAAGGTCAAGGACCAACTGGGGTCCCAAACCTCACCTTCAACCAGTTGGGTTATGTATATCACAAATTTCTGAAAAACTTGAAACTGCAATATTGGACACTTAGCTTTGGAGGCATTGCAAAATTGATTGTTTTTCAATATTAGAAAAATTCTTGTATATAAATTAGCCTCTCAAATTTCATTTTTGTCATCAATGACAATGATTGATTGTAGCTTGAAGGTTTGTGGAGTAATGTTCAAATTTTTTTGTGATGTAACAGGCTCTTCGAAGGCTAAAAAACAGAGAAAAGGTTAGATGAAATGGTTGATTCCGTCCTAGAAGTCCAGTATTCAAAGAAAGACCTAATTCAGGTAATTCATAAATTCTGCTTTAATCGTCGCGAGTAGCATACCTCCCACATCAGCCTAAATCCAAGTTTAGCTGGTATTACTACCATGTGTGTTCACCCAGAAGCAGATTACCTGCATCAATGGTGGACGTCTTACGGTTGCTTATCCCTCTAGTTAGAGGCTTCACTCCATCATTCCTCTAGATTTCAGCATCAATCCTCAAGTCCTAGGTATGAGGGCCAACTTGATAAATATTTCCCTCTTCTACTTTGTTAGAAACAAAAAAGAAGAATAATAATTTGAAGAAAGGTTTATTGCTTTCTTGAATAATACTATATGTATAATGATCTATATATAGGTGTTTACAAAGAGAATATTTTAAAATATAAAATATTTACAATAAATGTGTTTACATCTTAACATCCCCCCTCAAACTCAAGGTGGTTGCGATAAAACCAACTTGCGTTTGGAAAGAAGAGTATGAAAGCGTCCAGGAAAATGAGCCTTGGTGAAAATTGTGCATGTGAGCTTAACACAAAGCTTGTATCCAACTTAAAACCAATTGGTTATATGTGGAGTGGCCTTTCTTGTATTTAACCCATAAACTTCTTATTTTTATACTCAATGTGGGATTTTTCCACTTAACACGCCCTCTCATGTGCAGACTCAGTATGAATGTTGAGTCCTGTCACGTGGATTAACACGTCCACTTGAATGCAGACCGAATATCTTCAACTTTGGGTCATGTCAGGTGGGCTAACAATGGACTTTGCAGGACATAATCTAGGCTTTGATACCATGTGTGAAACAAAAGAGAAAAAGAATAATTTGAAGAAAGGTTTATTGTTTTCTTGAATAATACCGTATGTACAATGATCTATATATAAGTGTTTACAAAGAGAATATTTTAATATATAAAGTACATAAAAAGAATATTTTAAGGTATAAAATATTTATAATAAATGTATTCACATCTTAACATACTTAAACAGGAAATAAAAGGACAAAAGTTCGGCATAGCCAGAGTAAAATTAAAAATAAAGGACTGTCTAAAAGAACTTGCTTGATTTTTCAGCTTCTGTACGAGATATGGAAAGAGGAGCTTTGGTCTCAAGGCAGAGAAGGACTTCTCAATGGGGACGTATGCTATATGATTAGGCCCATAGACACCTTCCTCCGTAATGTGCATAACTGGTTGTAGACATTAATAAAGACTATACTAAATCAGAAAAGTAAAAACAGCATTCTCATACTAAATAGTAAATAATT